CCCTGTTTCTAGACTTTATGCTAGGCTAAGCTAACTAGCTGTTTCCCCGTTTCTAGACTTTATGCTAGGCTAAGCTAACTAGCTGTTCCCCTCTGTTTCTAGACTTTATACTAGGCTAAGCTAAGTAGCTGTTCCCCTCTGTTTCTAGACTTTATGCTAGGCTAAGCTAACTAGCTGTTTCCCCCTGTTTCTAGACTTTATGCTAGACTAAGCTAACCGGCTGCTGGCTTTAGCTTCTTATTTACCGTACATGACAGTGGTGTCAAATTTTTCATATAACTCTTTGCAATGAAGCGAATGAGTGTATTAGCCACAGTGTGAACTGTTCTTTTAATATTTCAGTGAAAGAACTAACATTTTGTAAAAGTGGGTTTTGAATGATCAAAAAATGATTTCCTGTTTGTGGTTTGGCCAGAAAACGACTGGCATGTGTTGCTCCTGAGTGCCATGTCATCTAACCGTCACCCACTAAGTTTTTGTCCTCATTTACTGTAGATGGTTCAGTACATGTCTTTGGCAGTTGTATTAATAATTGTTACAGAAAATACGAGTACAGGTTTCCTCCACGACGTCCCTTTTTTTTCCACCCACAGTAGCACCTTTCTTTGATATGATCCTGCTGCAGTTACAACAACATTTGTGACATCTATCAGCTAGATAAAGTGCTTTTGTTCCTCACATTGCTTGAGTGATTGCCTGTGATGCACACAGTCATGACGTTTGAACTTACTTCAGTGTTGTATATGCTGTACATGTCTAACCTAAATGAACGCTGGCTGTACATGTGACCATCTGAGGCTCTCATTCAGCTGTCATAGAGATAGTAGTGTCGTCAGCTGAGCTTTAGCATGCCAATAGATTTTATTTAATTGCATTTATTTAACAAACATGAGTCTGACATTGTGCTGACTCTCCTTTGAGATAATTACTGTCACTGTGCCCAGAGAGCAGTTTAATCAGCATTAAATAGAGCAGCTCCTTGATTTTACTTTTGATGACATGATCAATAACATGTTGATGGGTCCTGTTTGGTGTTTTGAAAAACAATAGAACAAGAAGTTTAACTAATTTTCATAAGTTTAGACTGAACTGTCAAAAATTATCTGAGTAAATGAGGTTTTTTGGATACAAAATTTTTCAGAAGCTTTGTGCTAAATTTGTTTTTATATTGATCCAGGCTGGTTACTGTGATCTCTCAAAGGCCCTGTTTATATCTGGTATGAGTATCTACTTCCACCTACACAGGGGACATTTCCATGTGGACACATTGTGTGCACGCTGCTGAAAGATTGGTCTGAGTGATCGGATCTTAAGACACATTCAGAACGCATTGAGTGCATTCACATGTGTAGTAAGGGCTGACCACTTATGATCCCATCACCCAGGAAGCATTTTAATACCAGGTGTAAACAGGGCCAGTGTTACATAACGTTGCATAAACATTACTTTTGTTAACGCCTTTGAACAGTTTCTTAAAAGCAGACTTTAGTTTGTCCCATTAAAGGTCCAGTGTGATGATTTAGGGGGATATATCATCAGAAATGGAACATATTATGATTAGTATGTTTTCTTTAGTGTATGATCACCTGAAAATAAGAATCATTGTGTTTTAGTTACCTTAGAATGAGCCGTTCATATCTACATAGGGACCAGGTCCTCGTCTACAGAGTCCACCATGTTGCACCGCCATGTTTCTACAGTAGCCCAGAATGGACAAACCACACACTGGCTCTAGATAGTGCCAGAAAAACACAGATTTTTTATGTGTAACTGCTTTATTGACTGTTTTTACTGGTTTAAATGAAGTGACCATTGTGGGTAATTCATCTCTCAGTAAAACCGCCTGAACAATGAACACTGAAGGAGTTTTAACCAGGAGATGTTTCAGCTTTTTGCAGTTTGCATTCCTCACCACTAGATGTCACTACATCCCTCTAAATCCTACACACTGCTCCTTTAAATCTAGATTGCCCTTAACCAATGCAGATGCATGCTCACCTGCATGTCTTGCCTCTGTATTTCCTGTCAGATGAACATCAGAGAAGAGTCTGTTTTTTTATGGAATTGAAACTTAAACTTAAATGGACATTTAATTTAAAATTAACCGTTGCATGGTTTTCATTTGACAGGAGCTTAATGTGCTCACGTTTGCTTGTATTTATAATTCCCTGAACTCCTGACTTCAACAACGTCACTGTTACTGTTACACAAGAAAGATAAGAATATATATTTTATCATAAAAAGAAAAATCCAGCATTTAAAGCATGTTTGACCTCCGCTCAGCCCTCGTCTGCTTCTGGCTAACCTGCTGTTTATTACCCCATCATGCTTTGCTCGTGGCTCGCTGAGAGAAACGTGTATCTTTGTTTCCTCCATCTTCTAACTGATCCCGTCTCTCTGTGTGTCTCTCGTCCTCCCAGAGCGGTTTCACTCCCCTGCATATTGCGGCTCACTACGGCAACATCAACGTAGCAACACTCCTGCTGAACAGAGGGGCGGCTGTGGACTTCAAGGCAAGGGTGGGTACTTTGCTTCAAAGATGACACACACACACTCGCACAGACCATTTGAAGTGAGTGCTGCAGACACATATGAGAGGGCGGGATGTTGTGTGTGTGTGTGTGTGTGCAGGAATCCACTACTGACGCATGTAATCCTACAGCTGTGCTCGTCAGTCTGCAGGAGGCCACATATACATGTTGTCTGTGTGTTATTTGATCCAACACACTGCAGGAATGGATGCTGGGTTCACGGAGACTGGGTGTGTCTCAAATATTCAATGTTCGTCAATACTAAATTCTAATGAGATTTACCTTTGAAGGCATTTGTTGTTGTATTTTGTTGTCGATTCACTAAGCAGGTTTACCCCAACACTAAAAACTGCTTTAGTTAAAGTAGAGGTCAAGGGATTTATCGTTTGCCTGATAATTGGTGCTGATAGGACATTTTACAAACTATAGCTATTGAGAGAACTTGCCTCCAATAGTGGCTGGTGACTGTGTAGCTTTCACCAGTGACACGTGAACGTAACTCACATCAGAGCAAAAGAGAGGAGAGTTGTGTTAAATGGAGCAACGAGGAGTTGATAAGCGGGGACAACTCTTGGAACAGCTGATCAAAGCACTCTAGTGCTATTAGCAGTAGAGTGAAAGTTCATGAATCTGGGACGCAAATTTGCGAATCCTAGGACAGTGACAAAGAGACCCGCCCTACGCTCCCTATGATTGGCTAGCGCTTGTTTCCTTTGTTGGTTGCACTGGTTAAATTTAGGCCAGTGGTTCCCAACTGGTGGGTCACGGGCTGGGGCGCCGAAAAGGGGGGGAAAAGGAGAAGGATTCTAGGGGCCCATGATTAAGAGGGGCCCAGAGAGGCCCTGTTTACGTAAAATGGTTGCAGCTGCAGTGCAGACGGCGGGTAAGGAGGCGGAGACGGCAATATGCCTCAAAAATCAGGTAGCCAAAAACGGAAAGAAAGGAAGCTAAGAGAAGAGAAAGAAGCAAAGGGTCGACAGTATGTCACCCAGTATTTCAAAAAGCAAGGTGGGTTTGTTAGTGGTTCATGCGGTGGAAAGTTATGGAACATTAACTTTGTCCCTGGTCTATAAGCAGCTTATAGACCAGGGACAAAGTTAATATTCAGAAGAAGGTGATCATTTTAGTTTGGGATGAGCAAGCAAACAACTTTTTTTTTTTTTTTTTGCTGAGCGAAAACTAACTATTAACTTAAAAATTATGGCAAAAAGGTAGTTTCTTGCAACCCTAGAATTAAGATAAAAATATTCACAAATGAAAAAACACTTCTGGTTGCTGGTAAGTAGTGTTTAACTTTTGATTTAACACTAAAAATTAAAACCCTTGGCGCGCACTGCAGCGCAAGCAGACAGATGCGCGACTCAGAGCAGCATGTGTCACTGACACCAGACTCAGAGCGCAGCAGACCGGTGGAAAATGTCACCATCAGCATATTATTTTACATCAATAAAATCTTATTTTATCATTATTTTGAGTCACACTGTTGAAAGAATTTAGTTGTCTGTGTTCAAGCAGGATAATAGGTCTCCATTCATTGCACGTCGGGCTTTCTATTTCCTTTTCGGGGATGGTGTTGCGTTCAAGGTCCCCCCAAAAAACGGGAGAAATATTCAATTTTTTTTTTCACAATTGAATCCCGTGCCATCAAACAAGGCTTCGAAGCTTCAAATTTTTGGGTCAGCCCTATAACGTACACTCTCCAGAGCCAGGTCCAGGATCCTCTTCAAGTTTGTCAGGGAGGAATGTGGAAGTGGAGGAAGAGATTGTTCTTTTTTCACAAATGTGGGAATGATAGTCAAAAATACCATCAAAATGCATAGTTTTATGTAAAATAGCATAAAAAATTTTCGGCGGTCTCCCGGCCAGCTGTGTATAGGACCCAGTAAAAATTCTTTTCATGGGGCCCAAAATCCCTGGCAGCACCCCTGGTCACGGGTTCATTCTGAATAGATGGCAAGTGACTCGCAAATGTATAAACTCTGTAAAAAAACACACTTTATTTTGAAGTGCAGAGAATTTCCAGCACAGAGCTTTTATTTTGAAGTGCTGTTTCCTGCTGTAGAGTGAGTGACTAACAGACAGCTGCATGACAGAGACAGCAAACCCGGCTGTTTTAGGAAGTTACTGAACTTTTTTAGAAGAAATAAACTCTTGGACGTCCACTAGCTCACGTACAAAGGCTGTGTCATTGTGTCAGCGGCTGCAGATTCGATTCCAACCCAAGGGTCTTTTGCTGCATGTCACCCCCCTTTTTCCTATGAAATAAAAGCAAAATGCCCCAGAAAGTATCTAACAAAATGGCTGAGTGTCTGAGACAGGGCTGGGAAGCAGGAAAGGTCATTTCATTTGTTCAAGTAGACTGTAAAGGAATGAAACTAGAATAACCACCAACCAGTTATTGCACATAACTGTGCAGATGATATGTTCTGGTGACATTACTTCAAAGACATGAAAGTCATTCAGATGATTTAATGATGAAATAGCTATCAGACCATGTTAAATGCTCCGTTCTCCACAGTGCACAGTGTCCCATTAAAACCTCCTCTTGTTTAGCCTCATAGAGGGACCCAGGGAAAACCAAGAAAGCAAGAAAACGATTAAAGCATGTAACTGTACAGCTGCAGCTGTTGGAGTGGTTATTTTCCCCTAGAGGGGGATATTTATCCATTTTCCTCCTACACTGTCAAATAAAGCCTTTTTCCTCTAGCTGCAAATTACAGACAAGTCAGATGTATTAAATGCTGCAGGCACAGACAGGCTGTCTGAATGTGTTGGACAGCTTCAGTGTCAGTGGAAATGTATTCACAGATTGTGTAATTGTAGCTATTTGTATGCACAGTTTCATTACCTGATAATATGTGCACTGAGTTAGGATGTGCTGTGTTTTGTCCCCCTTTTCTTTAAATAACTACAACTTAAACTGGGTTTATGAGGGTCTGAGTCGTCTTTTCTTTGTGGCTGAATGATGAAATGGTGCTTTTCTTTCTCCGCAGAATGACATCACACCGCTGCACGTAGCATCCAAACGTGGGAACAGCAACATGGTGCGACTGCTGCTGGAGAGAGGAGCCAAGATAGATGCACGGACCAAGGTTAGCACGCAGATCAGAGCGCAGCCCTGGCATTTGCAACAGACCGGCTCTGTTTTCACAAGAAGACACAATACCCCACACGCACCCCACTGAAATGTTAACATAAAGAGTGAGAAATAAAACCAAACAGAGTGACTAGAATGCAGAAATACAAAGCAGAATACTTTCACCTAGCAAGAACAGCTCATTCTGTGTTGTTCAATGAGCGTAGCTGCGAGGCTGTCTTAACTCAAGTCTGATTCAAATGCATCTAGGAGGTGGCAGTAGCTCAGTCCATAGGGACCTGGGTTGGGAACTGGAGGGTCACCGGTCCAAGTCCACATCCACGTAGCTGGAGAGGTGCCAGTTTACTAGCATGTGTGTGTATTTCGGGCCTGTGTGTATATGACAACAGAGTGAGAAAAATGGATTTGAGGATAAATAAAGTACTAGTCCATACCCATTGGTAGCTTTGCCACCTTCTACCTATGCCAGTCCTCAATGCCTATGTGCAGCTTCACATAGATTGACCACGTCAGTGAGTAGAAAAACGTGGTACAGACAGAATGACTGACTGACAGTTTCTGTGATTATGTACAGCATACCATGCCATGACTTAGTCATACCAAAAGTTTAGTGTGGGGCCGTTAGTGGCTGTTTTGGTAAGGAACCGGAACCAGGGCGAGTGAGACAGGATCTGGAATTCGCCTTTCTGTCAAAATAAAAGCACCAAGCTAATAAAAATGCGGTGAAACTTTTTAATTTAAAGAATATAATTTACAAGAAAAGCCCCAAGCCATGAAGTTAATCGATGTTCTTACACCCCTCATCACCCCAAATTGATGATGCGGCAGAATTTAAAGTTGTTTTTTTTTTGTGAACACTTTTACTTTGGTGAATTTGGTGAATTCCGCATCCGCTCTCTAGACCGGAACCAGAATCCAGACAAAATTCAGAGTGAATAGAAACAAGGCTCTTCGCCTTACGTGAAGAGCCTGGTGACGCGAGGCTACCAAAAATTTGAAAAACAACAACGTTGGTCCACAGGGGGAGCCACAGCGATCGGTCGCATTTTAGCCATATTTAAGCATTTTTCTGTTGTTATAGCGCCACCCTGTTGCCAATTAGAGTTAAATTTCTCCAGTCACCTTGAGGCGTCCTGTTCTACATATCTACCAAGTTTAGTAAAAATCCATATGGCGGTTAGGCCTAGATAAGAAATGAGCTCTCTAGCGCCCCCATTTTGTTTGATGGGGTCAATAATGGAGGGGTCCCCTCAGATTATGTGTGGTCATATGCCTACAAAGTTGCGTGGTGATGGGTGAAACCCTTGAGATGTTATACACCTTTATGTGATGAGCCACGCCCTCCGCAATATTCATTGCCTTATAGAAGCTCAGTTTTAGTAAGTTTTCCAACTTTTGCCAAGAGGGAACTTTAGATATTGGTCCCTAGATTATGTTCACCCAGTTTCATGCAGATCGCTCAAACTTCCTAGGAAGAGATCCATTTGAAGTGTTTTTCAAAAAATTCAAAATGGCGGAAAATCTATATAACCGGAAGTTATGGGTTCTTGAGGCAAATTTGTTCCTCATGAGGAGAGGCATCTCTGTGCAAAGTTTCATGTCTCTACGACATACGGGGCATGAGATATGCCCATTCAAAGTTTGCAATTTCAATCGGTTGCTATAGCGCCCCCCTTTGGCCAATTGATGCAATATTGCTTCATTCGCATCCTCCCATGACCCTCTACCACTGTGCCAAATTTCACATGGATTGACCAAGTCAGTGAGGAGAAAAATGTGGAACAGACGCACAGACAGAGTTTTCATTATTACTGTATATAGTCAGATATCTTCTTCTTCTTATTCAGTCGCAGTAGAAGGCAGTGTGATCAGTAACCTACAGTAACAGAGAATGACAAAAGTTGGGGATTCACAAGCACTCGGATGTTCGGCTAGCTGACCTTATATACCGGACACTTAAAAGAGTCGTTCAAAAAGATTTGTTCGTTCATTTTTGCCCATCACTACGCAGAAATTTGCAACACAGAACACCCACTCAAACGACACACACTGTAATCCCTACAGTCCCTGACATTTGCACCTGTTGTGTGACTTGTCCAGTGTCCAATTCTGATTCCTCTGTCTCTACCTCTTGTCTGCTCCGTCATCTGTCACTGCGATGTCCGTGTTGTTGCTCAGGCTAACATTAGCGCAGCTAGCTGAAGCAGCACTGTTGCTAGCTACACCTGAACCCTGGGTGGTGACTGTCTTTAAGAGTAAATCTGCTATTATTGCTAATTTTTCACCCTCAACCAGCTGAGCTTTCTTCGGTCCGATTCACGATCCATTTCCTTTTAGCCTTGCAATGCTGTTAAATTTCATACCTGCTCAGTTTCTGCCATCACTTATCTTTTCCAATCGCTACTTTACATCGAGGGGATCATGGTGGAAAATTGAGCTTCATGCATGCAGTAAGTTTTTGAGTTAAAAATCGTTAAAGAAGAAATCATTACAATGTTTTTTTGAATGCATTGATGATGGATGGGGGGATGATTCTGAGTGGCCCGTAGTCGTACAGGCCTTCTGGTATTTGCGTATTTTCCAGATGGCCAATCTGTCACTGTAAACATGCACACAGAAACCAACATTTTTTAATTGATGTAAATATTATTGTGCTGTACTTTTGTAAAGTTGGGTCACAAAAGACAGATTGAATAAAGAATATTCCCGACTATAAATTTAAAACCTCCAATCTGCTTCATGTGTGCATCTGAGCAAAAGAACTCTCCAAAACACCAGCTTTTCTGTTTAAAGCTGAAGCCTGGTCCATTTATCTTCTGATACAGGCACATACAGTACCCTATAATATATCATCATCTCTAAGGTGTCAAACGCGGCTCCTTTTGTCCACCACTTTTTAGGTCAGGAATTTTCTCCACCTGTAGACGGACATTCAATCTTTCAAATGAAATTATCAATATCACTAAAATCACCCCACAGCTGTACTAACCTGGGATTCATTGCACTGCTGAGGGACAGTGCACGTGATGGTTTGAGGTTCACTGTACCTGCTCTGTTTGTTCCCAGGACGGTCTGACTCCTCTGCACTGTGGAGCGAGGAGCGGACATGAGCAGGTGGTGGAGATGCTGCTGGACAGAGGAGCTCCAATACTGTCAAAGACAAAGGTACACCTCCAACCTTTATTCTCTTTATATTCTCGCACTTCTTCTCACTGCCGTATCTGCTCTAACAAACAAACAGTGAACATGAGTCCATTGTTCTGCTCATGTCTGCCATCACAGCTTCTATTAACTTCCTTCTTCCCTCCAGAACGGTTTGTCTCCGCTCCACATGGCGACGCAGGGCGACCATCTCAACTGCGTCCAGCTGCTTCTGCACCACGAGGTGCCTGTGGACGACGTGACCAACGACTACCTGACGGCGTTGCACGTGGCCGCACACTGTGGGCACTACAAGGTGGCGAAGGTGATCGTGGACAAGAAGGCCAACCCCAACGCCAAGGCACTGGTGAGGATAAAAGCATGGAGGAGAAACAGCTGGTCCTCTGTAGCTGCAGAAATAGACTCAGCAATCTGTTATAATGTGTGGAAAGAAAGAGGAGGGAGGTTAAAATCAAACACTTACTTAGTCTGATCGAGAGACGCAGAAAGTTTAAGGAAAAAGAGAGAACGGAATAAGGTGGCGTAAGGATAGACACGTACAGTGAGGTAACAGCTGCTGATGAGGTGAAGTCTCACATTTAACTGCTTTTTGCTCACATGCTTTATGTCAAAACTTTTGCTGGATATTTGATTCTTTATGGAGACTTAACAGTCTGATTTTTATAGTCTAAGTATTTCTTATTGTCCGTTTTGTCTCACTTTGCGAGGTGGAAAAAAAATCACACAGTGTGGCGTGAGAAGAGCCTCATTCACAGTATTTCCTGTTTTATTAAACAGATTGTATTTCTTTCTCATTATGAATTAGGCTGAATTTGGTCTGGAACTTCCTAAGCCCCGTTTCCACCAAACACTTTCAGTATGGTACTTTTAGAACCAACAGTAACCCTTCAGACATGGTACCTAGACCCTAGCGTTTCCACCACAGACAGTACCCTTAAATGTGGGCGGGGTTGTTGTCACTCACTGCTCCGTCCAGCACTCACTGTATTTCCTTATTGCCGGTGGTACACAGATGGAAGCCTGCACCTTGTTTATCGTCCACAGAACGAGGCTGCACACCAACATTTTCAGAACAGAATAGAACAGGCTGCAGTGAGAGTCTCTCCATGGGATATTTAAGAATAGCAGCTTTGTGCATTTAGTCCTTCTCAGGCAAGCTCAGGGGTTTAGTGTTGCCGGAGCCCACAGGAACAACGCTTTGCCACACTGTTTTTTTTTTTTCTCCAAGTGAGAATTAGAATATATGCAACTCCCATAATCAAGTTGAAATTAATATATATTTTTAAACACTTGAAGATCCACTCATTACTAAAAGTGTATGTCATATAAAGACGTAAGTGATGGTCAAAGTTGTCACAGTGAAATTTAAGGTGTGCTGATGGATTCATGTCGTCACCTCATGCATTGAGTAACATTTAAGCAATATCACATGAGAGGGAGTGATGTTGTACTGCATATCGTCACGACTGTGATTTGGTCAAAGGCACGAGGCCGCAGACAGTTTGCGTGTGATATTGCTTTTATACAACAGTTCAACAACAGCTTAAACAGCAATGCTGAGTAAGGAAATGTTAACAAAAGATGGTGAAATAAATTATTTAAGTATGTTATGTAGCTCCGCAAAAAAAAAACAGTTCCCTCAGTCTGTTGCCAGGCAACGCAGCACACACGCCAGGAACTCACAGGCTAGCCTACTTTGTATTTACATTGATCTGCAACTGAGTAACTTCGTCCAGTTTGACTGATGAAGCGTTGGCAAACCTGGATGCTGGCACGGCCGGATTCAGCTTCCACTCTCCCTCATCCTCATCAGTACCTCATCAGGTGATCATTGATAATTCCTGACCGTGTTCGCTTAATTTTTGCTCCTCTCCAGTTTGTCAAGGTCAGCTGATGTTACACAAACACACCTGGAGGTCTGCACAGAGGAGTCCTGGCTTTCCTTTTCCTCGTCTTCTCCTGACGACCACTCATAATTTAATTCAAATGTAATTTTGGGGAAAATATTCATCTTCTTGGTGTAACGCTATAGTGTCAGTTTGCGTCAATGTAGCGAGTGTGACATTTGGTTAATTAACCGTTGTATTTATATTTATATCGCGGAGTAATTTTACTGTTACAAGTCCCAGTGATGTTATACTCTATATCAGCACTCACGGAATGCCTTTCGTCCAATCAAATTACTCGGTCGGAACTAACTGTTGTATAATACAAGTTAACGTTCCACCTTAAAAGTTGCAGGCAGTCGGTCCAGTGAATTAAAGGCAAAAGGCAGCAAAACATCCTTTATTTTTAAAGTTACAGTTTACTAATAAAACTCTCCACAGTATGAACAGTTGTTACATGTGCCTCAAAACTAGTCACATCTCAGCCCTGAGCAGAGTGACCGTCCTCTACTGACCAATCAGACTGCAGTGTTCACAGCTCCACCTTTTAGTACCAGATCTGTGTGCTAGGTACCCCAACAGAGGGGGGACCATACATGGGGACTTTATTGAACGTTTCTGTTGGTACCATCCACAACTTTTCACAGTGGAAACGGATAAAAAGCGTACTGAACTGAACCGAACTGAACCGTACTGCTTGGTAGAAACAGGGCTTCAGTTCATGTTTGATTTCCCAAGGGGTGCTGTCAATGGCCGTACATGGATAGACCTACAACCAATCAGAGCAAGGAAAGCTGACACAGCGCCTAGCAACAGACAAATGTAAACAGACTACAGTGTGCAGAGATGAGCGGTGTTGCCTTTTGCCATCAGAATTTGAAAACAGAAAGTTCCACATCAGCTGCAGCCATCTCTCTTCACTAAGCTAGGGTTATGTTGTCATTTACCAGACATGAGGGCGCACAAGCCAAAAATGACTTCATCACTCTTGTTGCGTTAGGCGCAAAACTCCACAGGTTGTAAGTCATCGTTTTAAACGCATGGATGTATGAAAGTTGCTCAGTGGTGCACGACGCCAGAAAAGCTTCCAGGTATATAATTACCCAGATCCCTTGCATTGCTGGGCCCACAGAGCAGGCACACTAGAGACTGGCGCCTGCCGAGCAGCTACTTCCGGTTTAGCGTTCTGCTAACTTAAATGGAGATAATAGACTTTTAAAATGTTATCGGACCAAGTAGATCAAATCTAGATAATTTCGTGGGGGGTGTGAGGCTCAAAAAAATCTATCAACTACTTGGTACCATGTCTGAAGGGTTACTTTTGGTTCCAAAGGTGCCATACTGAAAGTGTTTGTTGGAAACAGGGCTTATGAGGACAGAGTACAGAAGAGTATTCGATCTCTCTGTGTGTGTCCTCACGTTGTGCTCATGTAGCTTTGGAGAAATGTTTCCAGGTCCGACCTTGTAAGATTGACTTTAACAGAAAAGTTTAAAGGGACTTTACAGAGGAGAGTAATTGAAAAGTATTTATATTTTCTCCAGAGTTGAAGTGTAGAATAGATGAATTTGAGCTGAAGCTGCAGCGTTGTAAAGAGTTGGGTCCGTCGTGTGGAGGTGTTGCAGTCAGGTCCTGATGATTTAACCTCCCAACCCACCAAATATGTCTTCCTTCCTTTCAAGTCTTTCATCTCCTCTCTTCCTCCTCTCTTTCCTTTCTCCTTCACCTCCCTCGTTATTTCTACACCGTGTTTGTTGACGACAAAAAGAGAGAAAGTAGGGATTTTAATGGAGAGGAGAGGACACAGGAAGGAAATGAATGAAGGAAGCAGACAAGGAGACTTAACTTTAAACCTGGGCCAGTGTCTTGGTGTAAGACAACCATCTCTGTTCTGTAATGGGAGAAGTCTGGGTGTGGTTAGAGCAGTGGGACTTTATAGCCAGAGAGAATGAGAAGGGGAAAAAAAGGACACGGAGAGGAAAATGAAGTCATAGGATCAAGCCAGAAACCTCAAAGTGGAGCGAGTCAGAGACGCAGGGAGGGAGGGGGCAGAGTGGACGTGTTGGCGAGAGAAGAGTGAGTTGTAAAGAAAAGTATCTATTTCAGTACAGCATACTTTTTTCTTTACAGCTCAGAGTCGAGTCAATTATTTCCACACATGCTTGTCTGGTTTGCATGCAGCGGGTGAGAGGAGAAAAAGTGAAAGAAAGAAAGAGGGGAAAGTAAAGAAGGTCTCGCTCTGCACTGTGTTTTCCATTCGCTGCTCCAGACTTATCTTCTGCCAGCTCAGCACAGACCTGCAGAGACACACAGAGAAGTTTGGGGACTATTTTTACTCCTGAAAATGTTTTTGTTTTGATTGTTTGTGTTTGTTAGAATGGTTTCACTCCCCTGCACATCGCCTGCAAGAAAAACAGAGTCAAGGTGATGGAGCTGCTTCTGAAGCATGGAGCATCGATACAGGCGGTCACTGAGGTAGGTGTAGAGAGTGTGTGTGTGTGTGTGTGTGTGTGTGTGTGATCAGGTTTTACAACAATAAAAGTATAAAGAAAATATTGAAAATAAAAGCAGAGTTTTATAATAATTCACCCGCAGTGAGAAAAGTCACCGAGTACACTCAGTAACTGTACTTACATGCTGTTTCAACATACTTGTACTTCAGCTATTCTTGCACACACTGCACGTGTTTTTCATCCGCAATGGGTTCCTTAAAGTTTTATTTTCTTCATAAAGAATCTGACATTCCTGTGAGATGATTTAAATTCTTTAAATAGACCGGACGTGTCTTGAATGAGATAACGTTTTTCAAGCACAGCAATCTCATGTTCTGTCCTCTGTTAAAACAGCAGCGGGCAACTTGCAGCTCTGGAGTCACATGCGGCTCTTTAGACCCTCTCCAGTGGCTCCCTGTGGCGGTTATTTTTTTAACATTCAGATTTTCATTTGTCAGTGTTGTAGGCCTAAAGTGCTTACTGCATTCTACAGTTGTAAAAATGTGTAGCCTGTATATTGAATTAAAAATGTTCTAAGGTTTTATCAACTAAAATGTGCATCATACATCTACTGTGGTTCGCCTGGAGTCCCTCTAGGACAGGCTAGCTATAGTCTCTATATACAGACTCTACATTCAGTGAATGTAGAGTCTGTAGGCAAACCCCGGAGATCTTGCCTCCGGAAGAAGAGCGGAAGAGCCCTGGTTTCTGGTGCTAGGCTGTTTGTAGTCTGCGTGATATTGATCAATCACGTTTGAGCCGGCTGCAGTTGTTGCCAGGTTAAACGGTCCATGCCGTGAACTAACGAGGCGGAACATAATTGGCGTCATTGCAAACTCTGAATCCATCGCAATGGTTCAGCATTTTTACTTATATATGAACGGAAGTTGGAAACGGAAATTCGCCTCCTCAAACCGGAATGCCAAAAAATCGGGGGTCTGCCCCCAGAGGCTGTATCGCCGGAAGTCAGACGCTGAATACAGCCCATGGGTTCCGAGAATGGGCTAGCTATGGAAACTAGAGATGTACCGATACCACTTTTTCCTTCCCGATACTGATTCCGATCCCTGAACCTTATGTATCTGCCGATACCGAGTACCAATCCGATACCAGCACGTAAAATAAAAATGGATGGGATATGAATTGTTGTATGTCTCAACTCCTAAAACTCTATGTAAAATATTAAGAAATTAATACATAATAGTAGAATGAATGCTATAAAACTTTTTTTTGTCATTATTATTATCCAGTGTTGACACAGATCAAGACACAGGTTAAAGTGCAGCCACACAATTTGGTAAAAAAGACATTTTAAAGGCTACAGTCGAATGCTTTTTAAACTCCGCTCCGTTTCCATTTCGTTTGCCTGTAGCGTGAGTATGCGTAATGACGTGAGGCATTACATGGTATCGGATTGGTCATAGGCTGTACTCACCGATACCCGATACCGCATTTTAGCCAGTATTGGAGGCATTTCCAATACTGGTATTGGTATCGGTACAACGCTAATGGAAACCAAATCCAAAAATGGAAAAGTTTCGTTTTAAGATTAATTTACTTTCACCACCAATGCTGTAAAGTTGAAGTACCAAATAATTACAAAAATCCCACTGCAGAGTCGCCACCTTGTAGTAAATCATATTAATGACTGGTCAGTTAGACTTATTGGTAATATTGATGGGCTAATTTAGACTTAATACGCTTTAATCAAATATGTTTTGCGGTTCCAGACAGATTTTTTTTTCTTCTTTTTTTGGCCAGTAATGCTCCTTGTAATAATAAAGGTTGCCGACCCCTGCTTTAAAAGAATGCTCAACCTGCTCATCATGTGTTGCCTTGAGTGTTTCTCACATACCTCCACGGTGAACAAAGAATCCAAAAAAAGGCAAACGGTCTTCATTAATTGAAGTCATGGGGGTCTGTGTTTAACAACAGCAAAACTATGTCAAGACATCTGTTTGCGAACTTTCACACAACTCTTGCAGTTCAATCCAAGTCTCATTTATTTGGTTGTTTGTAGTATATAATGATAATATGGTCATATGAAGTTAAAATCAGCTACACCAGCTTTAATTGTGAAATATCTGCTTCTGTGTTAATAAATTGTCAATAATAGTATTATTCAGAATGCAGGACTTTTAGTCACGACTGAGTATTGTCACACTGTGCTATTGATTCTCACACTAGGGCTGCCCCCTCGACTGAGAATTTTCCTAGTCGACCAATAGTCGTCATTTAAGTCCATTAGTCGACTAGTCGCCCGCATGTTTCTGATATGAATGTAATGATTAAATGATATATTTTGGTGGTTTGAGTTGAAGGTGTGAGAAAGAATAGTATCAGTAACATTGTTAACACTGTGCTACATTACAGAGAAATACAAAACCGTACTAATGAACCTTCATTAATATAGGCCTATATTTTATCTACAAGTGCACGTCACACACTGAGCGAGCCGCCTGTTAATGACGCTGTGGGCTAATGGGCATGTAGCTACTTCCATGTTTCAGATGATACGTCATGTTTGTAGTCGACCAATGAAGATGAGTTTACATATCACCTTGGGTTCGTCCTTCACCTTCTCAAAATGATCCCACACTTTGGATTTCCTGCCCGACATGTTATTAACTAGCCTGTGGAATAACCGCAGGTACCAGCCCTGGAGATTAACCTGACTCCTGTCTGACTGCTGAGCGTGGACACTTCCTGTGTCTGTCCTTTCAAATTAAAGTCACACATGGTCCAGTCATATAGGTTTGGATTTATTTTGACAAGGCGCAGCTCCTAATAGAGTTCCATGTTTGTTTATAAGCAATAAGTTTGTGATTTTACACAGTTATTATTATTATTATTAATTAATGAATATCCCCTCTCCTCTGTGTGTCTCTTCCCCGTACAGTCTGGTCTGACTCCGATCCATGTTGCAGCATTTATGGGACACGACAACATCGTGCACCAGCTGATCAGCCACGGGGCTTCCCCCAACACGAGCAATGTGGTGAGTTCTGTCTCCTCTTTGTTTCCGTCTCCCTCGAGTCCTTCTTGTCCCCCCTAAAGGACATTTTCAGTCTCTCTCCTGTAAAGCACAGCGTGTGAAAGTAGATAAGAACAATAAATGTATTCAAGTGCTGCACTTACAGTACAGGCCAAAAGTTTGGACACACCTTCTCATTCAATGCGTTTTCTTTATTTTCATGACTATTTACATTGTAGATTCTCACTGAAGGCATCAAAACTATGAATGAACACATGTGGAGTTATGTACTTAACAAAAAAAGGTGAAATAACTGAAAACATGTTTTATATTCTAGTTTCTTCAAAATAGCCACCCTTTGCTCTGATTACTGCTTTGCACACTCTTGGCATTCTCTCCATGAGCTTCAAGAGGTAGTCACCTGAAATGGTTTTCCATCAGTCTTGAAGGAGTTCCCAGAGGTGTTTAGCACTTGTTGGCCCCTTTGCCTTCACTCTGCGGTCCAGCTCACCCCAAACCATCTCGATTGGGTTCAGGTCCGGTGACTGTGGAGGCCAGGTCATCTGCCGCAGCACTCCATCACTCTCCTTCTTGGTCAAATAGCCCTTACACAGCCTGGAGGTGTGTTTGGGGTCATTGTCCTGTTGAAAAATAAATGATCGTCCAACTAAACGCAAACCGGATGGGATGGCATGTCGCTGCAGGATGCTGTGGTAGCCATGCTGGTTCAGTGTGCCTTCAATTTTGAATAAATCCCCAACAGTGTCACCAGCAAAACACCCCCACACCATCACACCTCCTCCTCCATGCTTCACAGTGGGAACCAGGCATGTGGAATCCATCCGTTCACCTTTTCTGCGTCTCACAAAGACACGGCGGTTGGAACCAAAGATCTCAAATTTGGACTCATCAGACCAAAGCACAGATTTCCACTGGTCTAATGTCCATTCCTTGTGTTTCTTGGCCCAAACAAATCTCTTCTGCTTGTTGCCTCTCCTTAGCAGTGGTTTCCTAGCAGCTATTTGACCATGAAGGCCTGATTTGCGCAGTCTCCTCTTAACAGTTGTTCTAGAGATGGGTCTGCTGCTAGAACTCTGTGTGGCATTCATCTGGTCTCTGATCTGAGCTGCTGTTAACTTGCGATTTCTGAGGCTGGTGACTCGGATGAACTTATCCTCAGAAGCAGAGGTGACTCTTGGTCTTCCTTTCCTGGGTCGGTCCTCATGTGTGCCAGTTTCGTTGTAGCGCTTGATGGTTTTTGCGACTCCACTTGGGGACACATTTAAAGTTTTTGCAATTTTCCGGACTGACTGACCTTCATTTCTTAAAGTAATGATGGCCACTCGTTTTTCTTTAGTTAGCTGATTGGTCCTTGCCATAATATGAATTTTAACAGTTGTCCAATAGGGCTGTCGGCTGTGTATTAACCTGACTTCTGCACAACACAACTGATGGTCCCAACCCCATTGATAAAGCAAGAAATTCCACTAATTAACCCTGATAAGGCACACCTGTGAAGTGGAAACCATTTCAGGTGACTACCTCTTGAAGCTCATGGAGAGAATGCCAAGAGTGTGCAAAGCAGTAATCAGAGCAAAGGGTGGCTATTTTGAAGAAACTAGAATATAATACATGTTTTCAGTTATTTCACCTTTTTTTGTTAAGTACATAACTCCACATGTGTTCATTCATAGTTTTGATGCCTTCAGTGAGAATCTACAATGTAAATAGTCATGAAAATAAAGAAAACGCATTGAATGAGAAGGTGTGTCCAAACTTTTGGCCTGTACTGTATATCTGAGCCCCTGTGCAGCACTTTGTGTCTGAATGGTGCTTAGAAATAAACTTGCCCTGACTTAAATTCAACAGGAGGCCATAAACATGAGTCCAAATCACATTTTGATACCTAAATGAGGATGATGTGTTACAGAAGATTTCACAGACAGAGACAGACTGATACAGTCAAACACAGAGAGTCCTCTGAGGAGAAAACCTCTGTCGCCCAGGAAGGAGAGGAAGTCTATTAATGCCATGTGTACGTACGGAGAGGACTCATAAACACTCCTCTATAGGAGCTACGAGCTCTTACTCTTAGATTAAAGGAGGAAGAGGAGGAAAACAGACAGAGAGGGGAAGGTGGAGGACGAGTTGAAAGAGAAAGAAGTGAGGAGCAAACAGAGAGGGGAAACAGAGCTGCACGTTCAACTCTTCAACCCCAACTATTTGGTCGCCCACGCCGTGTCTGTGGCCAGGTTACCGTAGAAACGGAGCATTATGGGACGTCATTATGGTGAGATGGGTGTGGAGAGGAAGGGGGTCTCCTTCTCTCTCTCCGTCTCTGTGTCCCATTAAAACAGAGGGAGAGTTTACATGAGGAAGGAGGGCAGAGAGGAAACAAAACTTTGGATCAACTATCAACCCCTTGTTCTGTGTGTGTGTGTGTGTGTGTTGCAGAGAGGGGAGACGGCGCTCCACATGGCAGCGAGAGCCGGACAGTCAAATGTGGTCCGATATCTGATCCAGAACGGAGCACGAGTCGATGCCAAGGCCAAGGTAGACCACATGACTGCAGGGAATTATCATCTGTCTAAACAGTGTTTGAATGTAATCAAGTACATTTACTCAAGGACAAGCACTACTTTGCTGAACGTGTTCCAGAGCTGCAACGATAAATTAGTACATCATGAGAGCCATATGAAATTGTTCACTGCATGTTTCAGAAATGCTGCTGAAACGTGTCACACTCACTAAGTAAAAGAAGTATTTTTTGAAAACAGTATTCTTAAGGAAAGAAAATCTTGGGAAAATGTGCCTGATGATTAAAAAACAACATTTTCATTGGGTGAATGCAATTACATAAAATAATAATAAATATAATAATAAGTGTAACCGGCTTGTATTACTGCTGCTGACTAGTTAGGGACATTTAATTTAATTTAATTTTATTGTTTTTATAATTTTTTATTTTATTTCATTTTATTTTGTTCTATTTTATTTTTATTATATTATTTTATTCTAGTTTTTTATTATTTTATTTTATTTTGTTCTATTTTATTTTTATTCTATTATATTATTTTATTTCTTATCATATTATTTTATTTTTGTGTAGTTTAGTTCGGCCATTTTCCAAATTATAAAACTCAAATGCTCTGGTAGATAGACAATGAATAAACATTAAGTTAATGCTTTCTTTTTTAGCGCTGAAAAAAAAAAAAAAAAAGATACAAAAAAAGGTGTAGGCTGAAGCCTTACCTTATTACACCTACCCACTTAAGAGTAGTATTGCTACTTTTACTTAAATTAAAGATCTGGAGCCAGTTGCTTAAAACACCTTAAGTTTTCTCCATAAGTATGACACTTGATACTTAATTTCCCTGAAGCCGAGGGACTTACTGAAGGGTGTTGCACAGAATCCCTTAACTTCCTGAGTAAAGTAGAAATGTTAAGGCATTTACTGCATTGAAAAAGAGTTCACAGTGGTAAAATACTAGTGTCCATAATAACCATTTGTCTGCTTTCGCTTGAGCTTGTGATACCTGAAGTCTTTTGTGCAACGGTGTAACTAACTTTAAGGGATTCCTTAAGTGTAAGACCAAGATAAGAAGAAAACCTTAAATACTTAAGTGAACATTTTAAGGAAACCTGAAGGAAAAGATGTGTTTTGTGCAACTGATTTCATTCTAAGAAAGCCTTAACATGGACTTTAAGGAAAATCTTAACTTAAGGTGTTTTGTGTAACCAGCCCATGAGTACTTCTTCCACCTCTGCTTCTAAACACATCAAACCCATTTTGAGCCACAACAGCAAAGCCTCTACTCAACATATCAGATATATTTATCAGCAATTTTTATTTCAAGTTGTGTAAATATTTTAAATTGATTTACTTTTATTATCCGATTCGACACTTAAGTCCAGTGACATTTCTCCCTCAGCTGCTGTGTCGTCTTTATCAGTTTAAATTGTTTGTTTGTTTGGGAGTGTTCTAAGATTTCACTGACTTTAACTTGTCAGTGTCACTGCAGTGTAGCCTTGTTTCTTCTTACTTCCTGTTTCGCTCAGTGTCGGGTATTTCACCTTCACCTATGACGTCCCTGCCTGTTGTAGGTTTTGTTTTGTGTTTTTCTTTTCGTAGAAACTAATAAAAATGAAGTTTAAAAATGTTTGTTTGTTTGTTTGTTTGTTGTCACCAGGACGACCAGACCCCGCTGCACATCTCAAGCCGTCTCGGAAAGCAGGACATCGTCCAGCAGCTGCTGGCGAACGGAGCGTGCCCGGACGCCACGACCAGCTCTGGATACACACCTTTACACCTGGCTGCCAGGGAGGGACACCGAGACGTGGCCTCGGCGCTGCTGGAGAACGGAGCCAGTCTGGGCATCATCACCAAGGTAAACCTGATGTGTGCAGACGGATACTTATCGGACATTCACTGCTACACACACTGAACCTACTGCTCCAAAAACACATTAAAGAAACTTAGACTGAGGAAGTCAGTTACAGTTGAGAGTCTGCAGTGAGTGAGCTGGGTCAGGATGACTTCTCGAGTCTGGGAACTGTTCCTGGAGAGATTTTCTTTGTGTGTCTCATTTCCTCAATCACATCCATTTAAACTGCAGCAGAGTGTTTGATGGGCACGGTGTCGACACTGAGGAAAGTCCCTCAACTCTAAATAAAGTCAAACAGAGGAGATATTTCCAGGTGACTTTCAGCCATGACTTCATACTGGCAAAACAAAGCAACAGTTTCTGCTTGTGAAACTTTTGTACTAAATCTCTGAAGATCCTTTGTTGGGTCCCACCAATGAATTTACAAACGATTAGGACAAAGACTCTCAAATTTCACTCGTGTGTGTGAATATATGCGGCAAAAAAGCAAAGTCATTTCTTTTCAGAACAGTTTTTCCGAGCTTTCGCACCAATCACATTGTGCAGCACAATTACACAGAGGCTCCGTAGTCCGAACCAGCACGGTGAAAATTTACTACTTCTCTCAACCTTGACAAAAGCAGTGCTTACCAGATTCACTCCTTCCATCTTACCTTTCACAATAAAAGCCCTACACATACGTAAACGCTGTGTATCTGTCAGACGCTGCTCTGGGTCAATAGGATCCTGGTAGTTGCTGCAAATTCTCATCACTGCTGGTATGAATAGTTTAGATGCAAAATATTCTCAAGCAGTCATGTCGCTTTTCCTGTGTTGTTAATTCGTCATTCCCCTGGTGTGTAAAGGCCACACTAGGGTTGCCACCTTGGATTTGTGAAAAAAAGGGACACTCGACCAAATGTTTGAGGCAGAGGGCTCGGCCATTATTACTAGTTCAGACTGACCAATGAACATGAAATTCGGACATAGGAGACCAGATTTGCCATCATTTCATGTCCTTCTATGTGCCTGTATTTTATTTTAATTTTTATATCAATGAAAAAACAAATCCGTGTTGCTAAATTCTTACATTTTTACATGTATCTCAGCATAGCAAGTTGGAAGTTGATGTTGGATTCTGCCATATCTGAAGAGGGGAGACTCTCTGGAATCTGGCAATATAAGAACCATGATGGTGGGACATTCTGTCACTTCACAGCTGTCCAAAACATGTGGTTTGTGCCAGGCGGACATGATTGCCAGTATTTTTTCATTATTGCAAGAAATTCCACTGACTCATTCACAAGTCAAAAATGTGTTTTATCTG